AACATCCTGTTCAGTGATAATAATGGAAGATAATTTTTCTTGTGAGATAGGACAATTAGGAGGAATGTCAAGGTCAGTTTTGTCAGAAGTAGAGACAGAGGTGAAGTATGAGTTAAAAGATTCTGCTTTATCCACAGGATGTGATTTAAGTTCACCATTTATTACAAGAGGAGCATCATTGTTTGATTTATTGTTAATGTTCATAATAGACTTTGCAACCCGCCACCACTTACCTGGAGGAATAGATTTGTCAATAAGGGAATTTTGGAGTTTAAGTAGATATTTTTGCTTAGCTTCTCTTACAAGGTCAATAACTGTGTTTCGCATATCTCTAAATTTTTGCCAGGCTGCAGTAGTATTAGTATGTTTGGCCCTGGTATGTTGACGATTTCGTTTCCTAATGTGTAATCTAATATCATTGTTCATCCAGACTTTATCATTTGGACGAATAGTGACAACTTTATGTGGTACATATTTTTCAATACAATTATGAATTTCACTGGAAATAAAATTATTCATAGTCTCTATATCAACATTTTCATTCAAACATGTATCCCAATCAATATTAGATAAATAGATGTTAGCATTAACAAAGTCAGTATCACTAAAGTACATAATTGTCTTTTTATATGCAGATTTCTTGTGAGTTTTGAAAGATATATTGCAACTAATTGGACTGTGGTCACTACAAATTGGAGTTTGGACAGAGGGATTTTTTACTATATCAGTATTGTTAGTCATAATAATATCGAGAGATGTCGAAGAGGTAGGAGTAGTTCTTGTAGGTTCGTGAATAATATTAGTAATGCCAAACTTAGTCATAATCCGCATGATGTGAGAATTTGGTTGTACGTTTAGCATATCCTGATTGATGTCTCCAATAAGTATATAATCTTTACCAAGTTCAGTGATATTACCCAAGACATCATCAAGTTTACTCCAATAATCCACAACAGAGTTTGGGGGTCTATAGATGCAACCTAACAGTAATTTTTTATGACTAAGGGTAATTTCAATCCAAATGATTTCTAAATCTGCTTTCTCTAAGTCTAGTCTCCTTTTAGATATAATTTTGTCATTGGTATAAATAAGAACTCCTCCACCTCTTCTATCAAGTCTGTCTTTACGGAAAGTATGAGGGTGATCAGATAAAGAAATAGCATCGTCAGGGATAGAGTCATTGAGATGAGTTTCAGTAAGGCAGATGATGTCATGATCAGCCAGTTCAGTCTCAAGGATATCAGTTTTATTTCTAAGTGAGCATATATTCAAATGTGCAATTGATATGTCTTCAATGAGTGAGTAATTTCCCATATTACCTGTAGGACCGGGATTGGTATGGATATCCATACACAGTAAAATAAGTTTAATTTTGATGATAAGCATAAATATTATATTAAAAATATTCTCTCCATGTGAACTGTGTAGATATGAAAAAATCAATTTCATTTTGGTAAGTGATATTATGCTATGCGTCACACCCAACACACACATGCTACAATCAGCTAAGATTATCCTAACCGTTATCAATATTGATGAATGATATGAGGTTTCTAACAGTATGTGGTAGGCATGACGTACAGCAACATTATACACAAGATCTGTTGACATTGGTTCTCGATAATAAATCAATAGCAAAAGATTAGTAAGTGTGAATATATGAAATGTATGCAGGTGATACTTCAATGAAAATATGTTTGAAATGATAGGATAATTATAGGGACAGTCACTATTTACAATATGTACATACAAGTACAAACATAGCAACATACTTACACCAGCGCTGGACCTGGACACATTCTCACATTTGAATTTTATAGTTTTGGATCTAATGTATGCAAACGAGAACGCTTTGATCGCAACTTCCCTAAAAGTAATGGATAAAGTGCTGATGTTGTGGAAGACTCGCTCAAAGATATGAAGTGTATAAATCCTAACATTAAAACAAATTTGGTTTGGAACATTTATCCTTACAAAAATTGCAGTTTTTAGTTTTCTTTGAAATGCTTGAATCGTTTGAACAAAAGCTAATATTCTATCAAAGTATCGTATAACTATCTTCTTACGAAAACGTCGTTTATGATTCTTTATAATTTTAAGCCAAATAAAAGCAAAATTCGACTCTTGAAAAACATCTTATTTTTAAAAGTAAAATAATGTATATTTTGTTGTATTCTGAACATAGAACACTCAATCGTCTGTACTAAAGCTGCAAAGGAGGTCGCTTAGTTTTGCTAAAATGTTTGGAATACCCATTACCTTTAATTCAGGGTTCAAAGGTTAAATCCATCTTGGTTGTCCAAAGTTTCAAAATAAAATTTAGTAAAACAAACTGTAGTTGAAATCTGTTTTATCCATGTGTTTGTTTTCTAACCTTGTCATCTAACCTTGCGCAATAGCTTGGGTCATGCATGTATCAGAATGGTATGTGTTTCTTAGTTATACCTTAAGTTCAAACACAATTACAAGGCACAACCTACCATAAAATCTTAAAAGTCGGTACGCGCATGACCAGAAATGTCAAGTCGCATGCCTTAAAATCATGTCACAATTTATAGTCGTATTAGTTCTATTTTGATGCCTGAAAATTCAAGCATAAAATACTTTAAAAATCTTTAAAGCAGTGACAAATGATGTCACGTCCTCAAAGTTGGAACATGGGAGCATACTCAAAACATCAAGCTTCGCGTAAATCGAATACTTCCCGATGAGGACGTGATGGCGAGCTTACAAATTGTCCATAGTCTATATCAACATAAATTTCATCTTTCAAATACTTTTGTGTCGTAAGTTTGATAATTAAAAGTCAACAACAATCACGGACACCATGCTATTCGGAACATGTTGGACTTGTTGTAAATAAAGATAAAGGAAAATGGCCGATGTAGCAGAAGTTCAGAAAGGTAAATACGATCGAAGTGGTCAATAAAGTATATAGTTGTAAAAAGTTTGGACATTGATTTGTTTGAGGTACCAGCTGCAAAGTCAACGATGAAACATTTTTAATAGGAACTTTTATGAAGTTTCGAATCCAATACTACAAGTCAAACCCGTGTTTTAATCATAAACCGGTATTAGGAAAGTGATGCAACGTTGACATGACTCGCTAGTATTTTATATAAATAGTAAAGCATATTTCTTTTTGCAAGTAGGAAATTCCAAAATGTTAACATATAGAGTGTTAGGTTTTTTCTCTTTCTTTCAATGAAGCACTTTATTTAATACTGCGTATTGTATGTTGGCCACTGTAATGTTGCATTACATGTATTATGTCGGAGTTGTGAAGTAGTATACAACAGCTTACCGGGGAAGCTAAACGTTGTATTGCATGGCAAATGTGGCGAGTTAATCATAGGTTGTGTGCGTAACCTTATACATAACTGAATTCTTCACTAGGACAAGTCGGCCTTATATTCAAAGTACTCCAACTTACCAACTGAGAAACATCTTCCAACTTCTTGCAAACGCATGTTCATTCTAAGGCGGGTTTGTCTCCAATTCTCACTGCAAATATTTAACTCGCAGCTTTTCTGGTAACGCACATACAGACTAATGGAATAAGTGGGAGGAGTCGTCATGTCATTTTATTTTTATCTAACTAATTAATATTTTTTATCTATGAAACGCAGTATTATGTATTTTAATGATATAAAGAAAATTGAAAATAACTTTACGGTAAAATGACTTTTCTTTGAGATAAAGACAAAACACAAGAAAGATAAAGTTCTCTCAGTGATACAAAATGTAACATGCCTTTATTTTCAAATCAACTGATAAAAAGTAATCAAGTAACATTTGTCTAGTGAATACTTTTCCTACAACCGATAACAGTCACATTTAAAAACCTTTCCGTACGATAATATTTTTGCTTCACGAAGAAATGAAAACGAATACAATGTTTACGTTTTCAGTGGTCGAGACTCTGTGTCTCACATTCGCCTACCACATGTATGGGTCTTCTATGGGAACCCTCAATGTCCTGGTGAGTGATGATCTTGACCGGAAAACCAACGTGTGGACCAGGTCTGGTAATCAAGGAAATGAATGGCATGGAACTGGAATACAGATCCCACCAGAGCCAAGCACCACTACATCCATAAAGGTGCATACTACTCATCAAAATGTGTTCATTTGTTTTAAAATTGGCTTAGTTAAGAAATATTCCTTTTATCTATTATCTATATCAGGTATGATGTACTAGTTTATAATATACATTATATCAATTTGATATTTTTATATACATGTATATTTAGATTTTTTTTTAAACTGTTGTCCATTTTTTTTCTTTTTACTTTTTGTAGATTTTCTTTGAAGGTATCCGTGGTAGCAGCTTTGAGGGGGATGCAGCTATTGATAACGTTGTTATCACGCCGGGTACATGTAGTAAGCTCAACCTTTAATCCTTTTAATATGGTCGATAGGTAGGTAATATATATATATACAAATATAAAGTCTCACCAAGTGATTTAAAGCGCGAGTTAATTTAATGCGTACTAGCGCATTAATCGAGTGGATTATATGGAGAATAAATCACAAGTTAGGTATACATCATATTCTTCCACGTCGTTGATGTAACAACACTTTTCATTAATAGAAAATAAACCATGCTCGCGCAAGTGTTTTGCTCTTCCAAAAGACCCCCCCCCCCCCCCCCCCCCACACACACACACACACACACACACACCACCCACTTGGTTAACAAGAAAATAATAATAATAATATAATATTCAACATTTGATATAGCGCCCTATCTAATTAACATAAGCCACTCTAAAGCGCTTTACAGTACATAGATATACAATTGATACAATTAGCTTATAAAATCAGTTTTGTCGCATGAAGGAACACCCATGCATTTGCATATCTAAACTTTTCCATGTACATTCACGTTAATCTGACTAGACAGGACAATGGCAAATGATTATAATAAGGCTGCCCTTTTACAAATGAGTACATTTGATGGTTTAAGTTATGTTGTCTTATCGGAACTGAAATATACAAGAAAGTATATTAAATCATATTGTCAATGTGCTAGATTAGATATACATAAAGTAATCTATAACTCAGGACTAGAACTTAATAGAAAATAATTACTCGTGGCATGACCTTGGTTGATTAACGTTCGAAAATCACATACATGATATTGTATTTATTATCAGGTTTCGTCATAGATATGCGTCTACATGTGTGCGCGTGTTTGTATGTCAGTAGGTCATGTTTAAGATATTTGTACTTAATTATAGTCAATAATAAAGCAAAACGCTTTATGTCAGTTATAGATACCCTCAACGCCAAGTATTTGCTGCAATGTTATCTATGTCAAGTGAACTCATATTAAGATGACACGTCGTTTATAAGTTGAAGGTATATGGAACAGTTGGGGACCGTGTTCGGTATCCTGTGGAAAAGGTTCAAAGGTCAGAAAGCGGACATGTTCTTACACAGCATCGCACTACGGAGGCGTGTACTGTACACAGCCGGAATACACAACTCAACCGGAAACTTGTTCGGCAATATCGTGTCCAGGTACATTTGTAAATTGTTTATGTTCCTTACTTGTCTATATTACAATGATTCAACTTTTTGTTTTTGTCATGAGATCACAGTTCACAGAAGTACATTAAGACGGATTCTTAGAAGAGAATAACAGAATTACTTCTCTATCATCCTCGATATTCAGGAGTTACGCTCACTTTCGCTCTCTACACTGCTGGAATATGTCATAGCAAAATTGAAGACACGAAGATAGCTGTTTGATTGGTGCCAGGTAAAAATACCTGTCCTTTGACAATTACAAAGGAGAGACGCCCGACTTCAAAGCCTGTCAAATTTTACCGTTACGTGACCACGAGATTCGTTTGATGTACAATGTACATAGTATTTTTCCAGTTTTCAATTGTTTAAGTTTAACCTTCACTTGGGTTTTCGTTATTCATTGTGGTATTTTTGCGAGAGTAAGAGGCCCCAACATTCTCCGTAAATAAAAAACAGAAGATAGTGTTGAAACTTAAAAATGAATAATTAAACCCAACAGGTTTTACCACACGACGTCTTTAATTGGAACACCTTTGTCCTCATTTTGTCTTAAGATGAACGTCTAAAGTGCGAAACCATTGAGAGTGTATCTGCTGAAAATTACGAACTTTTATATTGTTATTTCGATTATAAATCATAAAACTAAAATTTGACTGGCCATCTGAAATCCTGTAAGAATGTTTGTCTCATTGAGCGATAGTCCGATAGGCTTCTTATGTTATAAATGAAACATATTTTTTAATCATGTGATTGGGGGGTTCCATTAGGTCTGAAAATCCGCAGATATCATTGACCATTCAGTGCTCAATCATGGAAAAAACAAATATTTAATATTCGAAGTACAAAACTTGATCCTTCTTCAATCGTCTCATTAGTTTATGATGAAAGTGGTTCATATGTTCTTAATATTGACCCTAAGCCAGCTGTACTGTCAAAGTTATCGTCCAAGGACATGTCAGCAAAGCTTGTTTCCAACTCCTCATCCTGATTGTGATGTCAATATTAAGAACATATGAACCACTTTCATCAGAGACTAATGAGACGAATTAAGAAGGATCAAGTTTTATACTTCGAATTTAAAAAAAAAACTTTTTTTCAACGAACACATTTCAGTTGACGATAATTTACTTCATATTTACCGTAACAAATTCTAATAGAGTACCATTTGGGGGGAGGGGGGGCGGGGGGGGATGTTGGGCATAACATAACCGCAATATATATTTCAGTAATAATAATGTGGGAAGTACGGAGTACATTAACAGTCAATGAGTACATAAGCTGTCAATGGTTACACAACAGTAAACGGTATGAGGAAAGTAAGGGAACATAAACTGTCGATGGTTACACAACAGTAAACGGTATGAGAAAAGTATGGGATACATTAATTGTTAATGTTTACATTACAGTAAACGGTATGTGGGGAGTATGGGTACATAAATTGTTAATGTTTACATTACAGTAAACGGTGTGTTGGAAATATGGTACATTGACTGTCAATGTTTACATTACAGTAAACGGAATCTGGGGAGTATGGGGTTCATTAACTGCCAATGTTGACAAACCATTAGACGGTATGTGGGAAATATAGGATTCATCGACTGTCAATGTTAACATTACAGTAAACGGAATCTGGGGAGTATGGGATTAATAAACTGCCAATGGTTACATATACTTGAACGGTATGTGGGAAGAACTGTAAATGTTGACATAACATCGAGCGGTATGTTGGAAATATGGGTACAATAAGTGTCAATGTAAACGGAATGTTACAGTATTTGTGACCACAGTCCACTGGGCACACCCCCTTTCGTGGTCATGTAATCATGATTGGCCATGAAAGGGGATTATGTGTGCGGTGGACTGTGGTAGCAAGTGATCTTACTGTATACTTCCCACCTCTCACAATGGAAAAGTGTGGGCAATAAATCACTTGCTACCACAGTCCACTGCACACATAATCCCCTTTCAGGGCCAATCATGATTACACGACCATGAAAGGGGGTGTGCCCAGTGGACTGTGGCCACAAATGCTGTAAGAAAGGGGAGATAATCAATCAGTGAGTAACGGTGAAGTCAATACAGTAGAGGATAATCTTAGTTGACACATTTCAAATAAGGGGAAAAAATGAAAGTGAAAAATGGTAATTTCATGATTGAAAAACACAAACAGATTTCCTTATCACGTGAGAGGATAAGCATATCCCGGAAAAGCTTATAATCTTCAGGAGCTGTTCCTTTATACAAAATTGCACATTCAAATATACCATTCATTGAAAGAACTGGAATTCCTTAGGGATTGATAAACCCTTACATTGTATATATGAAAATGGTTTCAATATCCTGTACCTTTGCCACATCTTGAAAATTAAACTGAAAATGTAGTCAGAAATTCAACATTGTTTCCCGTATTTTGAACAGACACTCCTTACCTTCCCTGACACTGGACCTGGATAGTAATCCAAAAACACTTGTATCCATTATGAAGGATACACTCAGACTGGGCTATTGAGAATCTTACCTGGTTATGATTAGTACTCACTCACATAGGTACATGTAAATTATCTGCAGTGTAGGGTAGGTAAAAAGATTGTCCAGGTGAACATTTTTTACTCAACTTTTCTGTTTTGTTCGAGTTGGGAAGCATGCAGTAAGCCAGTTATTGCATGATTTCTCGTCACTCGGGACTTATTACACCCTCGCTTCGCTCGGGTGTAATACATCCCTTGTTACTCGAAAACCATGCAATAACCTTTACTTAAATTATTTCGCATTCCCACTAACAGCACAAATATATTCTCTATTATTATCCTTGCTCAATGAAGCGTCCGAGGTAGTACTACTACTCTCACCTGTCCCACTCGATGGGACTGTACACGTACGCGTATTACTGCGGGCAGGAGAGTCACACATTGATTGCACACGATCTTTATAACTTAGTACAGCTTTTGTGTCTCCACTTTCAACACTCCCACTAGTATAATGGACCAATAAATAGATATCGTTTAGCAGTTTTTCGATTGCTGACGAATTTCCAGAGTAAGTACTTATTACAAGAGAACCTTCATTAAAGGCAGGAAGCCTGACTGATTCTCAGAAATAGTTTCAGCTGCTAAAAGGTCTTACATGTTTACATTACAGTAAGCGGTATCTGGGGAGTATGGGGTACATTACCTGTCAATGTTTACATTACAGTAAGCGGTATCTGGGGAGTATGGGGTATATTAGCTTTCAATGTTTACATTACAGTTAGCGGTATGTAGGGAGTATGGGGTACATGTACATAAACTGTCAATATTTACATTACAGTAAACGGAATCTGGGGAGTATGAGGTACATAAACTGTCAATATTGACTTTGTACGGTATGTGGGAAGTATTCGGTAAATAAACTGCCGATGTTAACATTTCATTGAACAGTCTGTGGGAAGTATGGGATACATAAACTGCCAATATTGACATTTCATTGAACGGTATGTGGAAAGTATGTGGTTAATAAACTATCAACGGTTACATATAATTGAGCGGTATGTGGGAAGCATGGGGTAAAATACTGTCAATGTTGACATAACATTGAACGGTACGTTGGAAATTTGGGGTACACTAAGTGTTAATGTTAACATCAAAGTGAACGGTTTGTGGGTAGAATGGGGTTTATGAACTGTTAATGGTAACAGAACAGTTCACGGCATGTGTGAAGTTTGGGGTACAATTACTGTCAAAGTTTATTTTACAGATAACAGTATGTGGGAAGTATTGGGTACATTAATTGTCAATGTCGCTCTTACAGTAAACGGAATGTGGGGATCGTGGAGTACATGGAGTATTTGTTCGGTTACCTGTGCGGTTGGCTCCAAGTCTAGAACCCGTCAGTGTAATGATCCGGCCCCAGCGTTTAATGGTCACCAGTGTACAGGCGAACCTGTCGACAAGGACACGTGTACTTTGTCTCCATGTCCAGGTATGTACGTACCATGGTTACACATCTGACATCAATTATTGTTTCTGATTATGCTGCCTTAACTTTGTTTTCACATTTCTGATGTAGCAGATATTTCTGATAGCATGTCTTGTAGCAAATATTCCTGATAGCATGTCAATGGTTATATAACAATTAACGGTATGAAGAAAGTATGGGTACATTAACTGTCAATGTTTACATTACAGTAAACGGTATGTGGGGAGTATGGGGTACATTAACTGTATGTGTGGGGTATGGGGTACATTAATTGTCAAAGTTTATTTTACAGATAGCAGTATGTGGGAGGTATTGGGTACATTAATTGTCAATGTTGTTCTTACAGTAAACGGAATGTGGGGATCGTGGAGTACATGGAATACCTGTTCGGTTACCTGTGCGGTTGGCTCCAAGTCTAGAACTCGTCAGTGTAATGATCCGACCCCAGCGTTTAATGGTCTCCAATGTACAGGGGAACCTGTCGACAAAGACACGTGTACTTTGTCTCCATGTCCAGGTATGTACGTACCATGCTTAAACCTCTGACATAAATTATTGTTTCTGATTTCGTTTCCTTAATGTTGTTTTCACATTTCTGATGTAGCAGATATTCCTGATAGCATGTCTTGTAGCAGAAATTTCTGATAGCATGTCTTGTAGCAGATATTCCTGATAGCATGTCAATGGTTATATAACAATAACGGTATGAGGAAAGAATGGGTACATAAACTGTCGATGATAACATAACAGTAAACGGTATGAAGAAAGTATGGGAACATAAACTGTAAATGGTTACATTACATTAAACGGTATGGGGGAGAATGGGGTACATTAACGGTCAATGTTTACATTACAGTAAACGATATGTGGAAAGTATGGGTACATAAACTGTAGATGGTTACATAACAGTAAACGGTATGAAGAAAGTATGGGGTACATTAACTGTCAATGTTTACATTACAGAAAACGGTATGTGGGGAGTATGGGGTACATTAAATGTCAATGTTAACATTACAGTAATTGGTATGTAGGCAGTATGGGGTTCATTAACTGCCAATGTTGACAAACCATTGGACGGTATGTGGGGAGTATGGGGTACATTAACTGTCAATGTTTACATTACAGTAAGCGGTATCTAGGGAGTATGGGCTACATTGACTGTCAATGTTTACTTTACAGTAAACGGTATATGGGGAGTATGGGTAACATAAACTGTCAATGTTAACATTACAGTAAACGGAATATGGGGAGTATGGGGTTCATTAACTGCCAATGTTGAAAAACCATTGAACGGTATGTGGGAAGTATGGAGTACATTAACTGTCTATGTTTACATTACAGTAAACAGTATGTGGGAAGTATGGGTACATAAACTGTCGATGGTTACATAACAGTAAACGGTATGTGGAAAGTATGGGTACATAAACTGTCGATGGTTACATAACAGTAAACGGTATGTGGAAAGTATGGGTACATAAACTGTCGATGGTTACATAACAGTAAACGGTATGTGGAAAGTATGGGTACATAAACTGTCGATGGTTACATAACAGTAAACGGTATGTGGAAAGTATGGGTACATAAACTGTCGATGGTTACATAACAGTAAACGGTATGTGGAAAGTATGGGTACATAAACTGTCGATGGTTACATAACAGTAAACGGTATGTGGAAAGTATGGGTACATAAACTGTCGATGGTTACATAACAGTAAACGGTATGAAGAAAGTATGGGTACATAAACTGTCAATGGTTACATAACAGTAAAAGGTATGAGGAAAATATGGTGCATAAACTGTCAATGGTTACACAACAGTAACGGTATAAGGAAAGTATGGGTACATAAACTGTAGATGATTACATAACAGTAAACGTTATGAGGAAAGTATGGGTACATAAACTGTCGATGGTTACATAACAGTAAACGGTATGATGAAAGTATGGGTACATAAACTGTCGATGGTTACATAACAGTAAACGGTATGAAGAAAGTATGGGTACATTAACTGTCAATGTTTACATTACAGAAAACGGTATGTGGGTAGTATGGGGTACATTAAATGTCAATGTTAACATTACAGTAATTGGTATGTAGGCAGTATGGGGTTCATTAACTGCCAATGTTGACAAACCATTGGACGGTATGTGGGAAGTATGGAGTACATTAACTGTCAATGTTTACATTACAGTAAACGGTATGTGGAAAGTATGGGTACATAAACTGTCTATGTTTACATTAAAGATAACGGTATGGGGGAAGTACGGTGTACATTAACTGTCAATATTTACATTACAGTAAACGGTATGAGGAAAGTATGGGTACATAAACTGTCAATGTTTACATTACAGTAAACGGTATGGGGAAAGTATGGGTACATAAACTGTCGATGGTTACATAACAGTAAACGGTTTGAGGAAAGTATGGGTACATAAACTGTCGATCGTTACATAACAGTAAACGGTATGAGGAAAGTATTGGTACATAAACTGTAGATGATTACATAACAGTAAAAGGTATGAGGAAAGTATGGGTACATAAACTGTCGATGGTTACATAAAAGTAAACTGTATGAGGAAAGTATGGGTACATAAACTGTCAATGGTTACACAACAATAAACGGTATGAGGAAAGTATGGGTACATAAACTGTTGATGGCTACATAACAGTAAACGGTATGTTGGGAGTATGGGGTACATTAACTGTCAATGGTTACACAACAGTAAACGGTATGAGGAAAGTATGGAAACATAAACTGTCAATGGTTACATTACAGTAAACGGTAGGCGGAAAGTATGGGTACATAAACTGTCAATGTTTACATTACAGTAAACAGTATGAAGAAAGTATGTGGTACATTAACTGTAAATGTTTACATAACAGTAAACGGTATGAGGAAAGTATTGGTACATAAACTGTAGATGATTACATAACAGTAAACGGTATGAGGAAAGTATGGGTACATAAATTGTCGATGGTTACATAACAGTGAACGGTTTGAGGAAAGTATGGGTACATACACTGTCAATGTTCACATAACAGTAAACGGTTTGAGGAAAGTATGGGTACATAAACTGTCGATCGTTACATAACAATAAACGGTATGAGGAAAGTATGGGTACATGAACTGTCGATGGTTACATAAAAGTAAACGGTATGAGTAAAGTATTAGTAAATAAAATGTAGATGATTACATAACAGTAAACGGTATGAGGAGAGTATGGGTACATAAACTGTCAATGGTTACACAACAGTAAACGGTATGAGGAAAGTATGGGTACATAAACTGTTGATGGTTACATAAAAGTAAACGGTATGAGCAAAGTATGGGTACATAAACTGTCGATGGTTAAACAACAGTAACCGGTATGAGGAAAGTTTGGGTACATAAACTGTTAATGTTTACATTACAGTAAACGGTTTGAAGAAAGTATGTGGTCCATTAACTGTCAATGATTACATTACACAAAACGGTATAAAGAAAGTATGGGAACATAAACTGTCAATGGTTACACAACAATAAACTGTATGAGGAAAGTACGGGTACATAAACTGTCGATGGTTACATAACAGTAAACGGTATGATGAAAGTATGGGTACATAAACTGTCGAGGGGTAAACAACAATAACCGGGATGAGGAAAGGATGGGAACATAAACTGTCAATGTTTATATTACAGTAAACGGTATGAGGAGAGTATGGGTACATAAACTGTCGATGATTACATAACAGTAAACGGTATTAGGAGAGTATGGGTACATAAACTGTCGATGATTACATAACAGTAAACGGTATGTTGTGAGTATGGGGTACATTAACTGTCAATGGTTACACAACAGTAAAGGGTATGAGGAAAGTTTGGGTGGATAAACTGTTAATGTTTACATTACAGTAAACGGTCTGAAGAAAGTATGTGGTACATTAACTAAACTGTCGATGGTTACATAACAGTAAACGGTATGATGAAAGTATGGGTACATAAACTGTCGATGGTTACACAACAGTAAACTGTATGAGGAAATTATGGGTACATAAACTGTCGATGGTTAAACAACAGTAACCGGTGTGAGGAAAGTATGGGTACATAAACTGTCAATAAAGTATTGGTACATAAACTGTAGATGATTACATAACAGTAAACGGTATGTTGTGAGTATGGGGTACATTAACTGTCAATGGTTACGCAACAGTAAACGGTATGAGGAAAGTATTGGTACATAAACTGTAGATGATTACATAACAGTAAACGGTATGAGGAGAGTATGGGTACATAAACTGTCGATGATTACATAACAGTAAACGGTATTAGGAGAGTATGGGTACATAAACTGTCGATGATTACATAACAGTAAACGGTATTAGGAGAGTATGGGTACATAAACTGTCGATGGTTAAACAACAGGAACCGGTATGAGGAAAGTATGGGTAAATAAACTGTCAATGTTTATATTACAGTAAACGGTATGAGGAAAGTATGGGAACATAAACTGTTGATGGTTACATAAAAGTAAACGGTATGAGTAAAGTATTAGTAAATAAAATGTAGATGATTACATACCAGTAAACGGTATGAGGAGAGTATGGGTACTGTCAATGTTTACATTACAGTAAACGGTTTGAAGAAAGTATGTGGTCCATTAACTGTCAATGATTACATTACAGAAAACGGTATAAAGAAAGTATGGGAACATAAACTGTCAATGGTTACACAACAGTAAACGGTAGGCGGAAAGTATGGGTACATAAACTGTGAATGTTTACATTATAGTAAACGACGTGTGGGAAGTACGGGGTTCATTAACTGCCAATGTTGACAAATCATTGAACGGTATGTGGGGAGTATGGGGTACATTTACTGTCAATGTTAACATTACATTAACGGTATCTTGGGAGAATGAGGTACATAAACTGTCAATATTGACACTGCCGATGTTAACATTTCATTGAACAGTTTCTGGGAAGTATGGGATACATACACTGCCAATATTGACATTACATTGAACAGTATGTGGAAAGTATAGGGTGAATAAACTGTCAATGGTTACATATAATTGAATGGTATGTGGGGAGTATGGGGTACATTAACTGTCAATGTTTACATTACAGTAAATGGTATGTGGGGAATATGGGGTACATAAACTGTCAATGTTTGCATTTTCATTTCATTTTTTTTTATTCATGATGTTGTATGAATTGGATCGAACAACAGGCTATGCCTATATCAGTTCTCTCCTGCATGCATTTTTATAAATCAGCATATAAATATATTATAATTTATCAGTGAAATGAAAAATTGAAAAAAGACACAACTTATATACAAAACAGATACTAGATTATCCCTGGGAGTTCAAAATCCACACAGAGTGACTTATAGATACATGTAGTTGAATATTAGGCTTATATAATTAAATATCATGAATAATCTATGTCAATATTGTATGGTATATTAATATTCACATTATAATACGTTGAGAATATAATTATACAACTACTTGTTATTAATTACAAAATACAAGTC